TGCGAGTTCCTGACTCAGGAGAAGTAAAATAGCATGCATGAGCCAGCACCCATGTGACCTTCCTATTGTCACATGCATGGGTGTGGCTCCAGTTAGGGAAGATGCATAGGGCACATACACATCACTCGTGGGCACGTGCTGAAGTGCCATGTCACTTGGCACATTGTAGAGAGGGGTGCTTAAATTTTCTTTATTATTATTATTATTATTATTATTGGTTTTTCGAGACAGGGTTTCTCTGTGGCTTTGGAGACTGTCCTGGCACTCGCTCTTGTAGACCAGGATGGTCTTGAACTCACAGAGATCCGCCTGCCTCTGCCTCCCGAGTGCTGGGATTAAAGGCGTGCGCCACCAATGCCCGGCTCAGTTTTCTTTATTATTTATGAACATTAATGTTTTGCCGTGGGTGTTGGGTCCCCGGAACCGGAGTCACAGACAGCTGTGAGCTGCCATGTAGGTGCTGGGAATTGAACCCAGGTCCTCTGCAATCGCACTCAGTGCTCTTAACCACTGAGCCGTCTGTCCAGCCTGAGAGGGGTGCTGTAAAGGACAGGTCACAGTGCTCCAGGTCCAGGGGCACAAGTGTGAACCCTGCTCTTCCTCTAGGGCTGTGAGACAACCATCCGTGTGGTGTCCATGGACAGAGACTACCATGTGGAGTGTTACCACTGTGAGGTAAGTCCTGGCCTCACACACAGGAGTGGCAGGGACACCCTCCCCTCCCCCCGCTCCGTTGCACCTTCACCCTGGGTGTCTGTTCCTGGGCTCCCCCAGCAAGCCTTTCCTTTCTTTCCACCCGTGCCCGATTCTCTTTCAAACAGTCAGGTTTCCACTAGGTGGGCGTTGGATTTAGTGGGATAGATGGGATTTAGAGTTGGCAGTGTCCACATAAGGTGATAAATCACAGGTTTCCGTGTGTGTGTGTGTGTGTGTGTGTGTGTGTGTTGTGTTGTGCGTGTGCGTGTGCGTGTGTGTGTGTGTGTGTGTGTGTGTGTGTGGTGTGTGTGGGTGTGCGTGTGTGGGTGTGTGTTGTGTGTTCACTGTATAAGTGTGGAACTCAGAGGACTACTTGCTGGAGTCAGTTCTCTTCCTTCCATCCTATTGGTTCTAGGGATGGGACACGGGTCATTGCTTGATGGCAAGTGACTCTACTTGCTGAGCCATCTCGGTGCGTGTGACTCCCAGCCTCAGATCTGAAGGGTGATTTCTAGTAGAGGATGAGTATGTCACTTCCGGTTACTGTAACAAATACTGGAAGTCACCCACTTACATAAAAAGGGTTTACTTCAGCTCGGTTGTAGGGGTTTTATCCCATGATGGTTGGTTGACACCGTTGCTTTGGGCCTGTGGTGCGGCAGAGCTGCTCACCCCATAACTGGTAAAGAAGGGCTGGAGAGACCTTTGAGATGGCTCTGTGAGTCATACCTGCTACTGAGTCTCGGGACCTCAGTTCAATCCCTAGGACCCGTGTTGTGAAAGAGATAGATGACTTCCTGTCCCCATTCCAGACAGGGTTTCTCTGTGTGTAACAGCCCTGACTGTCCTGGCACTCACTCTGTAGACCAGGCTGGCCTTGAACTCACAGAGATCTGCCTGCCTCTGCCTCCCGAGTGCTGGGATTATAAGGTGTATTGCCGTGACTTATAACTGGGACTAACTGCTCCTGCCCCTTTCTGTACCTCCAACTTGCTCTGCCTCTCACTGGTGTCTCTGAGCACTTAGATTCATCCGCCCCTCTCTCTCCTGAAGTTCCCCCTACCCTCTCCTGCCTAGCTATTGGCTGTTCAGCTCTTTACTAAACCAATCAGAAAGCGCCTTATCAAAGAGACATCTTCACAGTGTACAAAAAGGTTATCCCACAACAGCCTGGCTGTCCTAGAACTCTATTGCTGTGCCTTTGGAATTATTTTGATAGCCCAGGTTGGACTCAAACCCAATCTCCTACTTCCAGAGTTAAGGTCTACTAAATATATTTGGAATTTTTTTTAAATTTTTTTTTTAGATTTTTTTTATATATTTACTTTGCATACTGTCTTCTGCCTGCATGCCAGCAGAGGGCACCATTCAAGGTGGCTGTGAGCCACCATGTGTTTGCCGGGAATTGAACTCAGGACCTCTGGAAGAGCAGTCAGTGCTCTTAACCTCTGAGCCATCTCTCCAGCCCCATGTTTGGAATTTTATTGCTTTTGTTTATTTGAGACATGGTCATGCTGTGTAGCCATGGCTGGCCTGGAACTTGACTTTCTGCCTTTGCCTCTGGAATGCTGGGATTCCAGATGTGGCTCCCACACATGGAAGTTGGCTGTCGCTTTATTAATTTTTTATTACTATTATTATTATTAAGAGTTTAATGTTTACTTGTGTGTGTGTATGTGTTGGTGCCCATGTCTCTGTGTGTGGAGTGCAGAGTCGGAACTGGAGTTAGAGGAGGCGGTCGGTGGCAGTCTGGCTTGTTCTGTGAGTGCGGGGATCTAAGCTGTGGTCCCCATGGTTGTGCAGCAAGCCCTTAGCACTGAGCCGTTTCTCCAGCCCTGCCTTGTTCTTAAAAACCAGAGCTTGTGAAGCTGGGCGCACACCTTTAGTCTCAGCGCTCTGGAGGCAGAGACACATGGATCTCCGTGAGTTTGAGGCCGGTGTGCTCTGTTAGAGAGCCAGTTCCAGGACAGGCAGGGGTGTGTATAGAGAGACCCTGTCGCAAGCAACAAGCAAAGCAGGATAGCTTGTTAGGCTGAGCCCACATTTAATAGCAGTCACTGTCCTTTCCCGGAGGCTGGACTTGATCCCAGCTCCTTTTGTATCAGAGGCTGCTCCTCTCTGTGTCACTGAGGTCCCCAGCCGCCAGGCATATCCACCCCAATCCTGATGTTCCTTGGGGGAGGGAGGTTGCCCCACCTCCTGCTTACTGGTTGCTCAGGGTTATGGCTTTTCTTCTGCTGCAGGACTGCGGGCTCCAGCTGAGTGGGGAGGAGGGTCGCCGCTGCTACCCCCTGGCGGGCCACCTGCTCTGCCGCCGATGCCACCTGAGGCGCCTTGGACAGGTCCCGCTGGCCTCACCGGCTGTGCACGTGACTGAGCTCTGAGAAGCAGCCCCCAGGAGAGAGGGGTCCCTCCCGTCCCTGTCTCCTCCCCTCCACCGAGCTGCTGTCCCTTCCGCAGGGGCCGGACCCCCGCGACAAATAAGCAATTTCTATTTATTCACCTCTCCGTGCCTCAAGCCACTTCCCCTGCTGGGTTCCAGGAGACCTGTACCTGCAGCCTTGGGACAGGCCCCCTTCCCCGCGCCTGGCCTCAGCTCCCAGAGGCAGGGCTTGGAGGGCCTTGGTGCTGTGGGGGAAGGGTGCCTTCATTGTGTTGCACTCACAGCCAGGGAGCAGCGACAGCCCGGGAAACCCCACCGAGATTTGGCCTTGATGGGCGTTTTCAGCCACAGCTCTCCGCCTTTTTAGATCCCGGCTTGGGATGCTGCTTTTCTAGCACCCTTCAGCCTCAGAAGATGGTGAGAGAATCCCAGGCGCAGAGAGAGGGCCCACGGCGGCTCCCTGCACACCCCCATCTGCCAGCTCCACCACAAAACCATGTGATTTGACTTAAATTAAGTTTTCCCCCCCCTGGAGGATGTTTGCATTTTCTTTAAAAGAATATAGTTTTCTTCTAAAAACTCTGACCAAGGTGGTTATTATCTTAGTCACAGCAGATTTCTGCGTGCACACACATTCATGGACCATGTAGCTAGCTGAGGTGGTAAGAACATTTGTAGCTTTAACTATTTTTGCATGAAATCTGCTTCAGATTTCAGTGTGGGGTCATGTGTCAGACAGAATCTTTCGGAAAGGGACCTCAGGAGCCACATGTAAATCAGACTTTCTTACTTCCTGGATACTGGGAAGCTGAAGCTGGGTAATGAAGACATTGAGCCTGTGCCTTTATGTGGCACTGGCCAGGTCACCTCTGGGTACTGCTGCCGGAATCCTCTGTTTTCAGTGGTGGGCATGGCTTTGGTTTGGTCTCGTTTATTTCTAGTTAGAGTCTCCCTTTGTAGTAACCCAGGCTGGCCTCGACTTTCCTCGCCTCCTGGCCCTCTGCAGCGATGCATTTCTTACGTGTTTGTGGAATGATTTAATGGGATGGAGCACTAATGTTACCAGGGAAGTCGAGGTTTCCCTTTTGGGGTTCTTCATCTCAAAAGTTTGGAAATGGGCTCAGAAGGAAGCCCAAGGATGATTTAATTAGACTTTAAAGCCAACGGGGCAGGATAGGAGAGACTGCAAGCCTTAGCCGCCAGGAGAGAGGAAGTAAAGGGTGGCTGTCTCGAGCCCTTACCAGGTTTGGACCTGGGAGGAATGACAAACTCAGTGAGTTGGTTGTGAGTATATAAGTTTTACTTCACACTTATGTCAAAGCAACACACAAGCATAATCAAACAACCCTAAGAACCACAGACAGTAGGCTCACAGCAGGGGTTCCGCCCGCAGGCCCGCAGGTTCAGACCTCTCTGGATTCAGGCCTTCCAGTCTCCTGAGGGTCTGGTGTTGTGGAATTGGGTTCAGAACAGGCGGCACTCAGCTTGATGGACTGGTTGTCTTAGGTTAGCTGAGGAGAGCGCCAGGACATAGAGTCGTGGTTCACTCTAAAGTTCCCAGTTCTGAGCTGGTCCTTAAATACTAAGTTTGCTAAATCTTGCTAACCACACTATTCTACACTCCACACACCCTCACTCTTATCTACAACGGCCCTGTAGTGGCCTGTGCTCCCTTTCTTTGTAATCTCCCTTCAGCCAGGCCTTTGCCTGCCGCCTTACAAGGCTCCTTACAGCGTGTTTTCTAAGGAGGTGTCAGAAATAGCTTATGAGGAATGGCAGAGCAGTGGATGGTGGGAGTCAGCTATCAGCTGAGGCTGGAGCCCCACAGCCTCCCACCGCTGTGTGCTGTGTTTCGCCCCCTCTTGGATGTTCCCGGCTCATGCACTGTTTTAAAGGCTTCCCCGTCTTTCTCTACAAACTGTTTTCATGTTACTCTCCATGTGGCTTTCTCCAATTCCTGTTCTCCCAAAACAGGCCGCACAGGACTGGACAGTAGAGAAACTGATACCTTCGTCCAGCTGCGCTGAGACCTAGGAACAGGGCGCCCCCTGGTGGGCCGAGGAAGCAAACAAGCACCTAGATGCTTAAAACTGGTTTTTCAGTCTCTAGAGATGGGGACAACCACAGCAGCCAGTGTGTCTTCTAGAAGTGACCCCGGTGGGACCCGAAGGATAAATTCCAAAAGTAGGATGCTCACTTTTTGGCTTTTGGTCCCTTTTGAACTAACTAGGTTGCTTGTTTTGTTTGCTTTTCCCCAGTGTTGGAGATGGAGCCCAGGGACTTCCACATGCTGGGCAAATGCTCTACCACTGAGCCACACCCCCCAGCCTCTCACTGGGGGATTCTAGGCAGGGGCTCTACCACTGAGCCACCCCCCCAGCCCCTCACTGGGGAATGCTAGGCAGGGGCTCTACCACTGAGCCACCCCCCCAGCCCCTCACTGGGGAATGCTAGGCAGGGGCTCTACCACTGAGCCACCCCCCCAGCCCCTCACTGGGGAATGCTAGGCAGGGGCTCTACCACTGAGCCACCCCCCCAGCCCCTCACTGGGGAATGCTAGGCAGGGGCTCTACCACTGAGCCACCCCCCCAGCCCCTCACTGGGGAATGCTAGGCAGGGGCTCTACCACTGAGCCACCCCCCCAGCCCCTCACTGGGGAATTCTAGGCAGGGGCTCTACCACTGAGACACACCTCTTGCCCCACTCTGATAAATTTTAGTTAAGCAAAGGCTGTACTACAGAGCCTGGAGATACTGTTGAGTTTGAGCTGAGCACTCTACCACAGAGCCACCACGTTCCCAGTCCTCACTGGTGAAGGTTGGCTGAGCACTGGGCTGTGTCTCCAGCCGCAGCTTTGGCCTCTCTAGCTGGTTACAAGGCTTCATTCTGACGGTTGCCTCTGCACTCTCTGCCTCTCACTTAGAGCGTGGTTCCTCCGTGAGGCATTCTCCCACTGGTTCCTCTGAGTCCATAATGTAGGTGGCCACTACTGTTTCAGTCACAGGAGTCACAGAGGTGGTCCCCATCTGTGTCATCTTGGTGTCCTTGCCTCCCTGGTCCCATCCTGTCCCGTCCCGCCCCCCCATCTCCCCCCTGCTTTGTCAGAGTGTATGGACCTGCGGCTTTATTTGGGTCAAGCTGTCATTGCTCTACAGGCTCTGGGCCCCATTTTGCTTCCATCAGGGCTCATGACAGCCACTGTCCTACCACAGGCCCTTGTTATAGGCATTGCTTTTCCCTCTGCTTGCAGCCGCCTCTAAGCCTGCATCTTCATTCCTCATCAAATCCTTCAGCCCTTGGGCTCCCAGCTGCTGGGCCTCACGGAACACCCTTGTGTTTCTGGTCCCCGCTCTCCAAGCTCACTCTCCAGGGGCGGCAGCTCCAGTCCCCATCACGAGCTGACAGTGAGCTGGTGGTGGTTAGGACCCAGGAAGCAGTTGGAGAGCCAAGCTCCCAGCCTGGGAGTTGGCCAGGAGCCTCCTGTCTGCCAAACACAGCTGTCCTCCTATGACATCTCCCCCCTAATGTGGGCACCTGGCAACTCCAGCTGTGCCTTGGGCGAGTGCTGGACTTTCTAAGTCGCTTATCCTTTGACATCTTCGTCCCCCACAGGTAGTGAGGTCGCCACGCCAGGGTTAGTCATGGCTGACCGCTCCTTCGTTTGCAGTGCCTAAAGGGGTCAGAGCCAAACACTGTTTTGGTCTCCCCTGGGTTAGCATGTTCAAGTTCAGACTGATGCAAATGGAGGCGCCACAGGTGGCGTACAAAGGCCAAGAAATGGATTCGTACATGCAAACGAAACCACACCCAAATGGGTGTGGCCACCATTACAGGTCCACAGACGAGACACCTACTCTTCTACTTTTAGTCTAAAGAAGAAGGTTTTAAGCCTGATGCAAAAACTATATACAATGATAAGAAATGCCAAGTGTATTTCAGGAAAAGGAAAGGTAAGCATACACAAATTAAAACCTACTGTCAGCGAGAGCAACATTGAGCAATAGATGTAGACTGCATGTCCCGTATACACGTCCAATATCAGGATAAAGGCAGGACAGAGGGCTGGAGAGATGGCTCAGAGGTTAAGAGCACTGACTGCTCTTCCAGAGGTCCTGAGTTCAATTCCCAGCAACCACATGGTGGCTCACAACCATCCATAACGAGATTTGGCGCCCTGTCTGGCCTGCAGGCATACATGGAGGCAGGACGTTGTATTCTTAATAAATAAATAAATCTTAAAAAAAACAGGCAGGACAGAGATTACTCTGGTAGCAGCCCTAATCTGGGAAGTCTTAAATCTTGTTTAAGATCAGAGATGATATTGCAATGACTTTGACGAGTCTTCAACCTCGTCAAAGACCCGAGAAGGAAAATAACATTCCAAGTGAGCGACTTCCAAGGGTTCAAGCGAAGACAGAAACTGCAGGCTACCTGGACAGTCACCCAACGTCTCACAGCAGCGTTGGGGCAACCAACTTGGGCTAAGGCATAAAGTGTCAGTCGGCCCATCTCAGAAGCAGGGAAATTGAACAACTGTCTTACCCCGACTTGGCAAGTTTCAGCAGTCTTCTTTAAGTTTATCTCCTGCAAGCTCAGTTAGGACAGCATCTCCAAGGTCAGAGGTCAAGGTGGGGGCTGTTCTTTGCCCAAGAGGCCAGTAGCCGAGGAGAGAATGACTCCAGATGGAGTGTCTTCAGTGCCCAACATACTCCCGGGAATTTGACTATGTGAAAGTTAAAACCTTTTATTTAAACAGAAAAGAGGAGATGATGGGAGATGTCCTTCTGTACAGATGTTTGTCTCATTGGTTGATCAATAAAGCACTGTTTGGCTAGTGATCAATAAAACACTGTTGGGCTAGTGGCCAGGCAGGAAGGATAGGCGGGGCTACCAAAGGAGGAGAATTCTGGGAGTGTAGGCAGAGAGGAGCCGCCATGTGAGCCAGGGAAGAGAGGACGAGAGTCAGGTGTTCTCTGGTAAGAGAAGACCATGTAGAAATACATAGATTAGTAGTTATGGGTTAATAATTAAGACAGAGCTAGCCAATAAGAAGCCCAAGCCACCGGCCAACGTTTCATAATTAGGATAGCATCTGTGTTTACTTGGGACTCCAGGGCGGCGGGACATTGCCAGGCCAGAAAACTCATGCTTAAGTCCGGGCTATGTGGAACTGGCCAGTGTCTCTTGGACCTGTGGAGATGCTGGTGAAGAAGAGGACAAGGTTAAATTTAAGTGAAAAAAATTTCTTTTCTTACACGTCCTGGTGATTGAGGGGGAGGGTGTCAGGACCAGGGAAAGGAGGGGAGGCTTAGGATGCTTAGGGCCTGGTAACTGGGGGAGGGATGCACCTGACCTGTTTGAAGTGACTCCTAGCCAACATCCTGGAGCTTAGAAGAATTCTTTGAGTTTGTGAAAACATAAGTTTTAGACATATTAGCATTTTTACTATTTGTAATCTGTATTGAAATTCACATTGTAGAAACGGCAGTATTCTCATGCCGGGAATGATTTTGGTTGAAAGCTCTTTCTTTCATCTGGAAAACTGTGACATGCTTTTAGCGCAATGAAAATCACCTTTG